GAATGGAATTAGCTACCCCCATCAGCCCACAGAATACTATTTAACCTACAATATGCCTGAAGTAGTGTTGCACATTCATGGTTCTGGGCAGAGTTCTGGCCTTGGCCACAGAGACCTTGTGTCCCAGTAGAATGGGAGCTGAGGGCTGTCTTTACATAGAAGTGAATAAACAGCCACAGTTTTTTCTGGCGCTGTCCTTATGCCTTGCTGCATTCCTCTCTATCCATAAAGGAAACCTCCCTCACCAGTCCCAATGTGTCTGTCACTAAGCTGGCCAGACTGTTTCCACCTGCAGAATCTCATGATCCGAAAAGACCTACTTCTTTTCCTTTCATTGAACGTTCTTCTTCACCTAGCACTTTCTCAGCTGAGTGTGGGGAGTAAAGCAATGTCCAAATAAATAGATTTATACTAATATTGAACTATTTCCTAGTTACTAACTCCCTTACTGCCCCAAATTCAGAAGTTCTACTAGTTTTTTTCTAAGATCACCTCTGGCTTTTTACATTTTTTTCTTCTCTTCTGAAATTACATAGCTTCTAAACTGCACAATTTATGACCTCAGTAAGGGCTCTGTTCTCCTGAGGGGTCAGAGGAGAAGGGTGGTGTGTATCTGACACTGCCTGGATTTATGAAAGCACACACAGTCGCTAGGAGCGAGTTGGACTCTGGCCTTTGGTGGGCACATCTGGTAGCCAAGTTGGTTATAATACTTCCATAGCAGTGGTTTGGGACTTTGCCAAGTAGCAGATTCCTAGGCACTACCCAGACCTACTGAACCAGAATCTCCTATGGTATTACCAAGCACCTTTATATTAAAAGTGTTTCCTGAGTCCAGCTGCTTCTTTTGGAGGGACATTCACGCCTCCAACTGCTTAAGGAAACTTCTTATTTAAAGGTCCCATTGGTGCTTCCAATCAAAGCTTCAAGAGCAAACTTGCTAAGCTGAGACAGGGTCAGTATACTGAAGGAAAGAAAGTGGAAAGAGGAAAGTCAAGTTCAAGTGTGAATTTTAAGAAATGTGTGCTATCAGGTGATCACAGGAGGTAAGAGGAAAGAACCAAAACAGAGCTAGAAAAGAGATCAAATAACAGGTTTCCCTAAAGCCAAAAGACCACTGTTTCAAGACAGGTTTCGACAGTAATGTCAAAAGTTTCCAAAAGTCATTTGTTCTGCCTAATATCTGTTTTTTTTTTTTTTTTTTTTTTTGAGAAAGAGTTTTGTTCTTGTTGCCCAGGCTGGAGTGCAACGGCACAATCTCAGCTCACTACAATCTCCGCCTCCTGGGTTCAAACGATTCTCCTGCCTCAGCCTCCCAACTAGCTGAGATTACAGGTGCCCACCACCACGCCCAGCTAATTTTTGTATTTTCAGTAGAGACAGGGTTTCACTATGTTGGCCAGGCTGGTTGCAAACTCTTGACTTCAGGTGATCTATCCACCTCGACCTCCCAGTGCTGGGATTACAGGCTTGAACTACCGCACCTGGCCAAGAATCTCTTTTTAAACCTTAGGCTTACCATGGAGTAAGCTCTGGCCATTTTATTACCATCTACTCGACACAGACACTTAACCCAACAGAATGTGACGGGGACTAAGAGCTGGAGATTCTCATTTTTCTCATGTCTTTTAGGCTTCACTACCTATAAAATCCTTGATCAAAACAGTAAATGTCCTGATTTGCTCCCACTGCCAATATCTTCTCCATCCAGCACCCAAAATGATCTTTCTACAGTGTCACTCCTCTGTTTAAATTCCTTCAATGGTTTCTATTCATTGCACTGAAAACAGCATCTAAATTCCCAAAGGCCTGCAAGGCCCTAAATAATGTGACCCTGCATGCCTCACTTACACTTACTATGCCACCAGCCACACTACCCTGCTGTCCTTTCCCAGAACTCATCAACCTTGTCCTTTGCTTGTAAAGCTCCTCCCAGGCTCTTGGTCTGGTAACTTCCACTTGTCTTCCTTTAGGGAAGGGGCAGAGTATCACCTTGGAAGTCATTTTTATGACCACCCTAGCCACAGCAGGCACCCCTTCTATCAGTGTCTACTACTTCATATCCATTATCACAATTTACTATTATTCTAGTCAGTACTCTAATTTTTTTGTTTTACTGTTTGCCTCTATCCTTAATATATAAGCTTCATGAGGAAAGAGATTTTTCAGATTCATTGTTTTAACCCCAGGGTACGGAGTACCTGGCATATAGTAAATGCCCAACAAATAATTGACAGACTGGCTGAATTGCCCAAAGTGATCCATTCATTCATTCACTCACTCAGCAAATATTTATTGAGTGGATATGTGTGGCAGGCTCTGGACAGTTAGAGGACAAGGCAAACAAAATCTGAAGGTAGTCTAGAAAAAGGCAGTGCTTATGTTTAGGAGTAATCTCATGATTACATGATAACTTACTGGTCTACAAGGACATTTAAAATTTTTTTAATTTATTTTTTGAGACAGAGTCTTGCTCTGTTGCCCAGGCTGGACAGTGGTGTGATCTCAGCTGACTACAACCTTCGCCTCCTGGGTTCAAGTGATTCTTGTGCCTCAGCCTCCTGAGTAGCTCGGGATTATAGGCATGAACCATCACGCCCAGCTAATTTTGGTAGTTTTAGTACAGATGGGGTTTTACCATGTTGGCCAGGCCGGTCTTAAACTGCTGGCCTCCAGTGACCTGCCTGCCTTGGCCTTCCAAAGTGCTGGGCTTACAGGTGTGAGCCACCACACCTGGTCATTTTTATTTTTATTATATGAGAGACATCATGTCTATAAACTTAGTGTCACCAATGACTAAGTTAGATCATGTATGTTTCTGGATAGACTAAAGCAGAGAGAACAAAGAAGGAACAAGGGCAATAATATGAGAAAACAAAGAAGAGAAAAAAAGAATAGGAGTTAGTTCAGTGATGTCACTATTCTCTGAAAGCTGATAGAAACTGTCCTTCTCATTCAACACTTAGAGGGTAAGATTATAGTCATAATATTTTTTTTAAAACATGGTAAAACATATACATCCAGGTGTATGCTATTTTAAAGCAATTCCCCAAGAAAACTCTGTATATATTCTATTGAGGTTACTAACCCTCAAAGCATTCATAAAACTCCCTTCTTCAAATTGCAGTCAGAGATAATTTATTAGGCATAGAAAAAAAATTTATTTTTGATCCCCAATAGTATTTCCCAGATTGATATCCCATCATATTCACTGGACTTACTTTCACTGGACCCATTTGAGACTGTTTCAATTATCAAATGTATTCCTAAAAGGTGAAGAGCTGTTATGCTGACGAGAGTATAAAATGTGCACTTAAGCCAGTCCTCAGAGAAGAGTTCCAGAAACAATGAGACAAGGATAGGATCTCTTCAATGACTTCAGTGAAGGAGACAGCATTCATTTGACTAAACAGTTAAGTCTAATTAATCTGGCATCACTGGAAATAGGATATTCTAGGTAATGTAGGAACTGCTAAGATAATCAAAATTCTAAACCAAATACTTTGAAAATTTTTATTTGTTTCATGTATCTTTTCAAAGATGTATGATGTGTGCTTTTTGTATAGAATATATAACTGATTTTAATCTTTCTGACTATGTATGTTAGCATATATAGTTTTTATCTCTGCTTACACATGATAGCAATCTTTCAGCTATCATTCTGTTTTTAATTAATAAGGCTGGCTCTTATACATTTCCTTGTTATAAAATTGCAGCTTCTAATAAATGGCAGAGGAGGTGGGGTGGAATAGTAATGTAAGTATAAGGTACACTATTGGTGTTGAAGGGTGAAGAATAAATGGTGGGAAAATATCAGCTCTGCAGTTGCTCATCTTATTCAACCAAAGATAAGTAATTATAAAATAATTTCAGGAAAGACAAGAGATAAGCCTTGTTTCCCTATAAACTACACAGACTTCCTGCTTGCCTGGCATAGAAACAGATATGGTACCCAGAGAACAGTGTTGACAAAAAGAGTTTCGAGACAAAAAAAATCTAATTCTAAGCTAACTGCTACCACTCCCCTGGCCCCACCCCCAGACTCAGCAAATAGCTTTACAAATTACTAAAAAAAAATTGGAACTGTTCTAAATTATATTCATAAAATAAAATTAATAAAATATAAACTAAAATATAAACATGATAGGAAGAATGAAAACAACTTATCATGTGCTTTCTGTCCACAGAAAAGACAAAAAAAATTCTTGTCCTTATGAAACTTGTGTTCTTAGTGAATATAATAATCACATCAGTAAATGTAAATGAAATAACCTCTTAAAGATGCCCAGATTTTTTAAACCAATGAAACAAACCAAAAAAAACCCCCAAAATTTGTGCTATATATCGAATATACATTTAAAACTAAAGGATTCAGAAAGAATGAACAAAGACATAGCAGGCAAATGAAAACAAAAAGAAAGAAAGCAAGGTTGAAATTTTAATTACAGATAAGGTTAATTTAAAGGCAAATTAACTAAGCAAAAGTATCCTGGAAGCCTGAACCAATGTGCTTCTTAGTATCCTTGATAGACATAAGGAGATACCTTTGCTTGTGGCATATCCTCAACAAGATATGCTGACAGACAAGGAGGAGAGAAGAAAAGTAGGCACCAATAACAGGAAAAAGTGATATAAAAAGATGTTTTTTGTTGGAAAAATGATAGAATCTACAAATCACTGACCCAGGTGAAATTTAGTAGTACAAGTATCACATATGGTCTGATTTTTTTAAAATAAAAATTTGACACCAAATGCAACCCGGGCTTCACTCCTACATTCACCAACTGCAACTTTACCAAGTCACGTAACCAATTGGGGCTTCAGTCTAATCACTTGTAAAATGAGGTAGTGGGATGCAATGACCTTGTAGGAGAAATATATCTTTAGTCCCAATTGTGACTTCACTATTGTTACAATATGTCGGACACTGATGTTTCAAACATATACGGACTACTAACTTAAACATAAAATGTTTTTTAAAAAATTATTGTTGACTGCACCTTTCATTTTTCAGTGTTAAAACCTCTTCCCTTGTCTGATTCAGAAGAGTTTTGGTTATCTCCAGTTCATTTTCTGCAAGGTTAATTCTTCTCTTTATGTCTTCTTCTTGCTTTTCTTTTGCAGTCAGTTCTTCCTGTAATGTTTTATATATTTGTTGACAAGTCATTAAAGAGTCTTCTTTTTCCTTAAGCAGCATCGTATGCCTAAAAAGAAATAGGAAAAAAAAACAAAACAAAACACCAACATGCATTATATACTACATTTTATCCTTATCAAAAATGCATAAAGAGCTCATTTGAAATTATAGATTATAACTGTGGCTTTAAAAAAATTTAAATGTTAAAAAAATGAATGGTTCTATAATGTTAAAATTTTCCCATCTAGGCAGTGGCAATAGCAATAACTAACCACAAGACATTATAAGCTTGAATTAGGTATTGTTTATGTAAACAACAAGAAAATAAGAAATGTTAAGTGCCTTTTAAATAAAATGTTACTTAAAAACAGTTTTAAGTTCAATTATTAAAAATATAAATTGAAAAATCGGTAATGCATACTGTGACTCAGAAATAATGGATTCGAACTTCAGTTTTCTCAGTTCTCTTTGACAGTCATCAGCTTCATTAGATTTATTCCTAAAATAATACAAAAGAAGTTCAAACATATTATTTCAAAATAAAGTATGTTTTTCTGTTGCATTATTTTACTCATCAATAGAAGGAATTTCTTAACATCTTCATATTATTATTTGTTTAAAGAAATAAACATTCAGTTCATTTCTATACTGGCCAACTAAGCTTCTGTCAGACTGATCTGCATGTAAATAAAAAGTATAAACTCTGGACAACATTAAAAAACAAAAACAACAAATAAACAAAATCAAAACACCAAAATACCTATGTGACGGTATTGGAAAGTGACCAAAAGTAGGGAGACTCTGGAGGGAAGTTGACACTTGGAATGAGGTGACAGCATGGGGTTGGATTATTAAAAATAATTTTAAGCCTGAGGACAGGCCCCAGTCAGCACCTTGCAGGGGAACTAAAACTCGTATAGAAATCTTCAGTCTTTCTGGTCCAAAGAACCAGACGGCATGGTATTTGGAGCAACCACAGCTGTTGGAAAGTAAAGAAAGAATGCTGAATAGGGGAGAGCAGAGAAAGAGAGTCCCAAATATTCCACATAAATTCTGCCCCTGAACTACACATGTATTAAGCAGATTCCAAGCAGCCTACTTGAAGAAAAAGAACTAACCCAGCACTTTGGGAGGCCAAGGCAGTCAGATCACGAGGTCAGGAAATTGGGAACATCCTGGCCAACATGGTGAAACTCCATCTCTAAAAATTCCAAAAATACAAAAAAATTAGGTGGGTGTGGTGGTGCACGCCTGTTGTCCCAGCTACTCAGGAAGCTGAGGCAGAATAGCTTGAACCCAGGAAGCAGAGATTGCAGTGAGCTGAGATTGTATCACTGCACTACAGCCAGGGTGACAGTGCTAAGACTCTATCTCAAAAAACAAAAAACAAAAACAAAAACAAAAACAAAGAAAAAGAAAAAGAAAAAGAAAAAGAACTGAACTGAGATTGAGCTGCTGTCCTGGACAGAAATTGCCATCTGAGGCCAAGTTAGCTGCCTGGATAAAGCAACAACACTTCACCACTATCAACAACAACAATGATAATATTTTTTGGAGAAATATATCAGAATCCAGACTTTCCATAACGTAACATTCACAATGGCCAGAACATAGTAAAAAAGTATTCAGAAAAGTGTGACTCATTATAAAGAGAAAGATAGTTAATAGGAACTGACTCTGAGATGACCCAGATACTGAAATGAGCAGACAGAGATTTTTGAAGAAGCAATCATTAACTCTGCTCAAAGACATAAAGGAAAATCTATTCTAATTAATAAAAAGATGAGAAATCTCAGCATGAAAATAAAAACCATTAAGAAGAACTAGATGAAAGATCTAAAACTGAAATAAACATTTGCCTTGATCTTATATAATTGGGTTTTGTAACAATATTCAAAAGGTTAATATATTAAAAAAATCATATCCAATTTAAATGTATTCAAACCACTTATTGACTAGTTAAGACATAATCTGAACGCATCTCTAATAGCTTGTTAATGAACAAGCTTTCATTGTTACACAATGAAATAGGTTAGATTATCAATGCCCTTCTTTCAGAATGACTTTAATTTCTAGTAAGTAATAATGTAAAAATCATCATGCACATACACAATATTCATTTATTTTTAAACCTTTTTATTGTAAAATATAACAAAATTGTAAGATACAGAAAATTGCATAAAACAATTATATAATATAATGAATTATTATAAGAAGAATATTCTGGTGATTACCAACCAGGTCAAAAAATAAAACCTTACCAGCTATTCTAGAAGTCCTTTATGTCCCAGGTTCCAATCATAGCCAACTCTCTGCACCCTAAAAGTAACCATTCTCAGGAATAATATTGTTATCACTGATTTTCCTTAGGTCTTTATTATCTAAGTTTCATCTCTGAACACTGTATTTTAATTTCGCTTTTATTTTAAAGCCATTAAAAATGTTATCTGCTCTACCCTGTTTCTGTAAAATGTCCCTATTAAGGTATTGTGTTGACATGTAATACACTGCACATCTTTAAAGTGTATAACCTGATAGGTTTGACATATGTATATGTCCATGAAGCCATCACTACAATCAAGTAGCACATGAGCACACTCAGAACCCAGATCTTGGCTTCTATCACCATTCCCTATTAGAGGAACCAGGACTACTCATAGAAATGACTCATTTCAAGCCTGGGGCAAAGTAAGTATATCTGAAATATCTTGTGATGACAGAAAGTAAGAAAGTGTTTACAAAAGATGATGAGATAATGTTCTAACATCAGAAGAGCCAGTTTGAAGGGCCTTCTACTTACTAAGCCTAGGACAATATTTCAGTACAGTAATAAACTATAAGCCATTAAAAGATAGGAATTCATGAGTCTGTACAATAAATAAATAAATAGACGAAGGTAGGATATTGCTTACTATAGAGTGCTAAAGCCTAACTAATAAATGGGGAGTATGGTCTGGAACTTTAAAAAGTCATCATTTAGGAATCACTGTAGTAAAACTGAGATCAGGCAAAAATCATTAATGGATGATATATCTAAGAATAAATTTTGATGAGAAGCAGAATATTCACATGCATTTAAAGTGTCTCTTCTAGACTTCTTATTGATTGAAAGAGAACAAAACCCCCCAGCAATTATGCAGAATAATTGAGCAACATCTTTATCAGCTGATCAAAATGAACATCACCAGTTAGGGGCAAATGTTTATCATGTGCCTCCAGATGTGATACCCTGAGGACACATCACTCCCTATGTGGTTTTCTGGCTAAGAATACACATCCTTAATCTAACAGACAGGAAACATCAGACCAATACATAATAAAGAACTTTTTGTTTTTAAAAAGTGTGAGGGGTTCTGCATTCTTAAAAAATTCACTGTCATTAAAAGACAAAGACAAACTGTGGAAATATTCCAGATTAAAGGAGGCTAATAGAGATACCCAAGTAAACGGACTCCAGATTGGATCCTGTACAAGAAGAGAAAATGCTATAAAAGATATCATTAGGTCAACTGACAAAACTGAAGTATGGATGGTAGATTAAAGTATTGTATGTAAATTTATGACACTGATTAGGTAATCCCAGCTACTTGGGAGGCTGAGGCAGGAGAATCGTGTCAACCTGGGAGGTGGAGGTTGCAGTGAGCCAAGATTGCGCCATTGCACTCCAGCCCAGGCGACAGTGTAAGAATCCATCTCAAAACAAAACAAAACAAAACAAAACAAAAACAGTAAATAAAGTATATTCCCAATTATGTTAAAAATATATACTACTTAAAAAATGGACTAGAATTCTGTTTCCCTCAAAGATACATTGTTGTAGACTGAGAAATGGAGGCCAGAGGCAAAAAGTACTTTGCTCACTTTGCCTGCAGCTGGATTCAGAGGTATTGGTGGAGGGACTGGTTCTTCAGTAACTTTACCAGGAAGGAATCTTGACAGAAAACCATGTTCAAGAAATCAAAGATCAATCCACAAGTCTCCAGAAAACAATGCTGCTACTGAATATCCTACTTTCCAGGGGTCTCAAAGCATTTGATACTTCCTAGATTCCCTACAGGAATTTTCGTGAATAAGGGAGAAGCTAGAGAAAGCAAGGGAAGAAACAATGACTAAGCCACCTGCCGGTGACACAATGACTGGGATCCCCTCACACACCAATGGCTCGGCATCAAACTGGCAGATTAATCAGCTGGCCCAGAGTCTGGGCCCTAAGTGGAAGCCAGTGGTGCTGTCCTTGGTACTGCTCCAGATAGACATCTACTGCTGTGAGGCCAACCATTCCCACAATGTGCACTTGCAGGTAGTGGAGGCCTTTGTCTGCTGGTGGCAGCACTTCAGGAAGCATGCCAACTTCCAGAGCTTGCATAATGGACCGCAGGCATGGAGGCAGACCTCTCCGTGCTCCTGCACATGTTGGAGTGACAGCGCCTCCACCAACCAGCTGAAGAGTATGTCTCCAAGTCACATGGGCTGAATCCTGACTTTCACTCAGAACAGGTGGTTTTTTGTTTAGTTTAGGTTTGTTTTTTCTTTTTAATGATCCTCAGATGGAAAGAGAAAACAGGGTTTCCACTTGACATTACTTGAAAGGCCAGATTACTCAATAGATCTCCCAGGCTGGTTCAACAATTCATTGTTTTTAATTGCTTGAAGATTGCCTTGTTATGATTGCACAGTTTTAAATTGTGATGGCCTTTAATAGACTAGTAAATCACAGTGGCTCATAAAAATCCAAAAAACAAAAACAAAACAAAAAACCCCAAAGCCCCATGTTATCACATTACATGTGCGTATCTTATATGTAAAACATTCACTTTTATGTTGCCTGGGAACTGAACTGTGAACTTTACTATTCATAATGATAAGAAAATAAAATGCAAATTACTTTAAAAGGAAAATGGAATAGAAAGATATATCAAAATATAACTATGACTTTTTGTATATCCTTATATTTTCCAAGTTTTACAAATTTGCTTTAAACAAAAAATGTTTCTTTTACAAATGCCTTTGTGATTCAGCATCCCCAGCACAACTTTCACTATATGTTCAGACTGTTATACACACTTTTCCAAATCTAGAAGCAGAACAAAATAACTCCTGTTAATGGTTAATTTACTATGTAGATAATACATTTGGGCTGCAATTTTAAAGCCACTTACCATTCCAAGAAGTCCCCTCAGCATGGTCCCTTCCCTTGCCCTGCACCAGTTAAGCCACTCTTTTTATGGTCTACCCTTCATTACCCACTTGTTAGCTTCACCTTCATTAGGATGGAGAAACTGGGTGTAATAAAAGAAAACCTCCATCTTTTTAAGCACTGCATTCCTTCTTTTACTCTTAGCAAATAGTGGTGATCCTTTCTCTTCAATTGCAATGAACAACCCTTCAGAAAGGCCCCTGTTGCTCCTGCCAATAAAATAAAATAATGAGATATTTCCCCCCACTTTGAAAAGTGATGGTATATGCCACTCCACTGGCTTACGTGAAACAGCTATACTT